TTGCAACACGACACAAGCACACACTTCTTGATGAAGCCTCTCATCCGGTATTGGGACGACCTGCACCATCTTCACTTTAGGATGCTGTATAAGTACATTTTCAATCTCTGCCGGGTATATATTCAGTGCAGCTCGTATGATAGTATCTGTCTTTCTTCCAACTATTCGACAATACGATTGTTCATTCATGACTGCCAAATCTCCTGTGCGGTACCAGCCATCAGGAGTTTTAACTTCTTGGGTCTTCTCATTATCTCCAAGATAGTATAGGAATAAGAATGAATTTCGTGCCCAAAGTTCACCACACACATTGACTGGTGCAATACGCCCGGTGGCATCAACGACTTTGACCTCACAGCCGACAGAAGGAAAGCCATCTGTTGAAATAGTTAGTTCAAGTGGAGAGTCAGTTCGATGCATAAGAACTCCACCAGCTTCAGTTGAACTATAAACTCTGAACACTTTAGCTTTAAGAACTTCAGATATCGATTTCAAAAGTCTGTCGGGCATCATTGACCCACCTGTATATGCTGTCTTTAATGACGGAAAGCTAAGTTGCTCAGTTCGACAAAAGTTAATTATATCAAACATTAAATGAGGAAGAAGGAATAAGCTCTCAATTTGCTCATCTATCAAGATTTTAATAATGTCGCTGGCTTCCATTTTGGGTGAACCAATCACAACAGTTGCTCCACTGATGGCAGGAAACATCAGTCCACAATCTGCCCCACCTAAATGTGCAAATGGTGACGTCATAAACGATTTTGAATAATGGTTATCTACCAAACCACTGCCAAATAATACAATATATTTATTTATCTGGGTTCCATGTGTATGTACAATTGCCTTAGGGGTACCTGTGCTGCCAGAAGTGAAAAAGATAGCAGATAAATCATCCACTTCTACTTTATTCATTCTTTCTAGTAGTTTACCGGGATCTAGTTGTTTTCCTAAATCTAATATGGTGTTGAACTTGAATGTTCCTGGGTGACACTGTGCGTCAAGATTTATAACTACGCGAAGAGTTGGAATATGAGTACTCTGTAGCTCTCCGGCCTTGGCGTCCTTTAAATCCGGTACTACCTCATGGATCTCTGTGAATAAATCACGAGAAGCGAGACCCATCACTAAAGCCGTGCATTTGGTCTTGTGTAGTAAAGGCACTAACTGATGAGCTCGGAAACCAACTTGCAGGTGAACCACTGGTAAACCTATCTTAGCTGCAGCTAAATGCACTATAGCCCACTCTAAATGGTTGTCACTCCACACTCCCAATCGATCGCCGTGCTGTAAACCGAGCTTGGTCAAACCACCAGCAAATTCATTCGACCTCTTATTCAGGTCATCAAAAGTGATTCTGACGTTATCCTCAGGAAAAATAAGAGCTTCTTTTTCTCGATATTTGTTAACAGTTTGTTGAAACACTGTACCAATTGGGTGACCATGTAGCTGGACATTTGAGGGATGATGGTAATAACTTCTAGTTAGCTTCACCTTCTCCATATTGTAATTACTATTCACTGAAATGTAAAAAAAATGGTATGAGTGGCGACTTTCCAACCGGATTAGATGTTTGACTGATGTCACAATTACCGTCATTTTATGTGATTGATCAGGTATATCTGTACATACATATATGCATGTTGTAGTGATAGTCGATGTTCATTGCGTTTGGTGCCAGCGTATTTTGATAAATCATATAATGTACACACCTCTATTGAGATGATACAAACAGCTTGGTTAATTGGTCCATGGACGTGACTGATGCGTTAGGACAGGTCACTTGGTGTCCTTGTGCAGTTCTGCACGTACCTATTGTAAATCAATAAATATTTACATATATTTACACGGGCTAAGAGGACAAAACTTCAGCCCGAGCTAAAGAAATTTGAACTAAATTTGACCCATTTTAAGAACCCTGTCTAGACCCCGAGTACGAGCTGACGAAGTGTTAGCTCGGGTCATGAAACTCTATACTACTTACGTTCACTTTGCAATCTGTACTTTCTCAATTTGCATTGTTATTGTGTTTAACAATATAACTAACATGTATACCTTTCTGGTTACTATACTGAGTAAGCATAGTTAAACGGATTGAATATTTGTATATTTTATACAAGTTTGGGTGTTCCTTGGTCTGTTCTAACTGCTGTTCCATCCCATACGTGAAGTGATGGGGTATAGCGGATTTGCAAACATATAAAATTAGTTTAAATCCCAGCCAGCGACTGTACGGGCCGGTAAAAAAATAACACGCGGATAATACTACTCTAGTCTAGTCACACGTATTGTTTAAAAATGATGTCGTACACAGCTCGAAATTATAACGCATACAAAGATATAAAAATAAAGAAATCGCATGGAAGGAGATACGTTTGTCATGGCACAAAAGTGTGCAAAAGACGCAAATATAGCTGCCACGCCTACATCGAATGACAAGACCCCGTCTGGTGGATACAGTGCGTGTTGACAAGACCCCGTCTGGTGGATACAGTGCGTGTTCACATTTACTGTGAAGTTACAACCTCAGAACAAAAAAACAAAAAAACAAAAACACAATAACCAAAGTCTTTCCGACTACTTTTAAAGTAAGCAAATACACACTCCGTTAAATCTTAGCTCATGCTTGGTGTAGCCAACATGGGCACTTGCAACTAAAGTTTAAGGCTGGGATATAGGTTTAACCTCAGTATACTATGGTAAAAACAGGTGGATCGCTGAAAGAATATGACTGCATGGTTTCTGAATACAAACACGTAATACACTTACCAAAACAGCACTCACTTGGATATTGGACTATTTATCCAATTATGTGAAGTTATTTTGCCAGCTAACGTAGACAAAATGGTTTCTGAACGGTATCAATCTACTGCTTAGTACTCCCTGGTATGCTCCGCCCATTAAACGAAAGCGCTTGGGTCAATGTGTTATACTGAAAAGTAATGTGAAATGGAATCTTTATTGAGCTCGTTGGAGTGCTATCTATTTTGCAAATAATTATTGCCACCATGCATTATAACTGAACAATATACTAGTAGTATTTGCAAATAATTTGGATGAAATTATCACTATTGGAATTTTAAAGAGTTAAATTCTGCAAAACAATATGCCTGGTGAATCTGTTTTGATGACCTCTTGAACTTTAGTTGGTCTCATTATTTAGCGGGGACGTTGCTTTTTCTTGAGTTTGGGCAATCGTCGTTTTTTAAGCAATCTACTTATTGCGACAGTGGGCGATGCAGTATTGTACAGTAATGTTCAACTTGGTATTTATGGCATATGGACCATGTTCAACTGATTATTTTACAGCATTTAACAAAAATACCAATGAGACATCGCGTCGATACACGTTCATATATTCGTTCATATCTGGTGCGGAAGATTAAATATGTCCCTGTCAAATCTAGGTCAAATGGTCATTTGGGCTATTTACAAAATGCTGTGAACTTCAGCAAATAATATCCACCATCTCATATCGAATATTCACGGAGTTATTTGATGCATTCACCATGTTATGTGACGCCACAGTCACTCCTAGCAGAGTGACCGTGGTGACGCATTCATTATGTTATGTAGTGCATTTACCGTGCAATGTAGTGAATTTATCATATGTGGTTCAGTTGACGTGTTGATGTGGTGCATTCATCATAATATGCAGGTAAAGCCAATCGACAGAGCGTGGTCGCAAAACTACGACCTATTGTTACTATGATGAATGTCAAAGGTCACTCTTTACAATTCTATATATGAGGCCAATCTTCCCAGTAAAATTAATGGAAAGTCCAACAATATGATCATAATTTGAAAACAGGAGAGGTTAAAAGCTGATTTTAACATAGGGCTCTACGGAAAAGATGAGCCCCCCCCCACAACGCCCCCCCCACAGTTTATCCCACAATCCTTAGCAAAATCAAATATGGAGTTAACACATGTCTTCCCTGTAGCTTATGAGCCACCACGTATATCCCAATATTTCAATGAAACGTGATACATCGGTGTTCTTGGGTATCCATAGAGGTAATTGGTTTAGAATTGAAATCATTGGCACGAATTAGCCAATTTTCTGATATCCCCGAAATATTTCAGATTTCAATTACATTTTGTGTCCTGTGCCCTGAAATAAATTACGGAAAGCAAACCAGAGATTTATACAATTACATTTATTCAGATTTTTGTTACCGTATATCACATTGCAGAGCTATAGCAAATCAACAAGTTACTAGTTTAAATTACTAAATTATAATGTTCCTTGATTTCTTTCCATAAACCTCAAATACCTCATCACATGGGATTACCCTTTAAGTTTCCTTTGATTATCATGTGCAATATTTTCGTCTTTGAAGAGTAATCTTTGTTCATACAATTCATGCAATTTAATTTCTAACCATCAAATTTCCGGTTTTATCACAAAGAATTATTTTTTAATAAACTAATTCACTATACAAGCAAACCAAGTGTATACTGTTAAAGTAATATGGTCTTGCTACACTTGTTCGATTCTCGCTTGTACACGATTACATCGGTTGTTTCATGCGTTGTGTACATTGCTCAGGAACCTATATACTGTGAGGTATGACGAATGTGAAGCTTTCACAACGATTTTATTTAAGTTTATAATATATTACTATAAATGTGATAAATATGTCTTCACAAATATTTAAAAATACTACTTGCATTCAAACCAACTGTATATATAAGCGCCATTAACTCCCACCGTTGGACGTTGAAACATTGAAACATTGAAGATAATTATCGTGAATGTTTATCCACGTGTGTTTCTTGATTTATTCATATTTGTTGTTGTTTAATTGTAATTGTTATTTTTCATTCATATTTAGTTTGTGTCGATAGACAATGATTTTCTGTATTAATTCGTTTTCGTTTCATTCGATTTCAAGCATTATTCACTGAGATATATTCATTAGAACTCGTTTCGTGCTTGATTTCACCTCATAATGCATGTATCTCTATTACAAAGAAACACAAATCAGTTTACGTAAGCCATTTACGTAATGGTCACAAATACGCTCTTATCACTGCGAACGCAAGAGAAGTCGCAACTTTGTAGCGGATTAAGTCGCAATGTATATTTAATAGTGACCTTCTCGCATGGCAAACCAATTTTAAAATACTAGGTGTGAATCCAATTAACCCTATATAAAGGGTGTTTCAGTGCATGTTTGGGTGGATTGTCCTCATTGTGTACATTGATGCCAGACTTCTCTACCGAAATAAACGACGTACTAATTTATATACGTATTACAGTCTCCCATAGTCTCTTACTTGTGTTTCCATTACACAAACAGAGTGCTCGCAGTTCTTTGGACCTGATCGAATGTGTGCGATAGACAGCCACACTAATACTTTAATAATGACATGTAAATTTTAGATAAACAAGTCCACTATACAATCAATAAATGCTGTATACTTTTTAAGCTCTGTGATCGCAGAATTTTATGTAAACTAAAAATGCATTTTAAATATATCTATAGTACACACCGACCATGACGCTGTAATGCATTCTACAGTAAATACCGTCATGATACTCAAACTTTACTCGAATTACTTTTAAATATATTTACAAATTCCCCCTTACATAACCAAATCATCCAAGTAACTGTTATAATCTCTATGAGATATAAACGCCAGATCTCTGGATATTTTTGCTAAGCATTCTTTCTAAGTAATGGGTTCCTTTGGATTTACATGTATTTATGTTATTCATTTTTATCCGATTGTTCTTTCGAGTAAAGTTTAAAAAATATACAGTTGTGTCTCTAAAAAATCTTTTGAATGTGTAAGTTAATAAAAGCATATGTGAGAAAAAATGTTTACATTTCGCACTAAACTGATAATACTTGATTTATTCCCATGTGTGATATACACATAGTTCTCTGAACCGATGTCAATTAATGTTTCTACAAAGATTTATCACTAAATGTCACTTTCACCTGACTTATGACTCGTATACAAATAAAACACAGGAAACTCAACTAGTGTGCGAGATAAGCGACAAATGTATCCTCGAACCCCAACAAAAAATATAAATAAATTCTCCCATAAATGTATACAGAAATAGATATCTTTGACGGCTGTCAAACAAAAAGGCCAAGTCTATTTATTAACGATATAAATCCATAATCAATCTTTAAAAATCCGGTATTTAACAGATTTTCACGTCTTGATTCGTTCCGACACGTCCGTAGAGCACAAATCAGTTCATCCTCAGTTGCGTCAAAGGTTCACAACCCACAAGTCTTTGACAACCAGCACGCGCCTCTTCAGACCATCGGAACTTCAACGACACAGAAATGCAGCTAAAACTTACCCTGTGTTGGCTGCCATTTTGTGTTATTCGTTTGACTGATATCGGATTAAGTAAACTCGGCGAAAATTCAGTGACATGCGTTTATTTGTTAGTGTAACCTTTGCCCGTTGATATCACATTATAGGATCGTAGTCGTGTCGCATATGATAACCTCTATAACAGCGATCTGCATCTT